CCACCCATTACCAATTGATTTTGGATTGGAACCTCACTTGGATTTGGTGGTGTGGGCTTGAACCTAGTCAATTGCTCCTCATAATCACTACAGGAAGCATCACTATGTTCTAAACGTCACAGACACCAGTAGAAGTATCTTTAAAATCAATTTTTGAAACACGTAGGGAGCTGGTTTAGGGACAGTAAACTTTAATTTTTTGTTTTCCAAAGATGGAGCAAGCAAGTAGGATACATTCTTGCTGAACAATTTAATGCAGTTAACAGAGATCAGGATTGCATTGCTCTTTCTGTGTATTAGTTTATAAAGAAAGAAGTGTATGTCGTTTGCAGGAAATAAGAAGAAAATTTGCAAGAATTAGCATATATTGATATTATTGCCAACGTAATCCCTGCTCAATCTAACTGTTCACAAATAAATAGATTTTACATGGTTAGAGACATACCGGTAAGACGCTGCTGATGCCAGACATTCCCAATTTATAGAAGAAGGAAACAAGAGAAATGCGTTTAAGTGTCGAGCTGAGAAAAAAACTGAAATTATTAGCAAGCGTACATGTCTGAAATGATAATATTTATTCTAAGTTTCTCCTATGAATTGTATCCTGATTCCTTCCTTCTGAACAAGAGGCAGCTTTTGAGTGTTGGTAAGCTCAAGAAAAATCAAATCACGTGAAACGTCAAGCAAATTTACCTGCTGGTAACAACATGTATACCCTGTTTCATTGAGTAATAATGTTCGTGAACAACATTACATGCTTTGTTTAGAAAAGTGATATGCTGGTCAGCTTCTCGAGTTGGCCTTACTGGTTCTGTCGGGAATAGGGTCATGTAAACAAGAACAAAGACCAATAGAGCTATTGAGACCTGAAAATGGAATTTTTTTTGCTGCCAATAAGAAAGTAATATTAAGGAACATAACAACAAAAAAATGCCTAAAGTTCTATAACTAACATACCTCAAAAATGTAATCTTTTGGAAGAACACGTGCTAAGACATTCCCTATGAATTGGGATGCAGAGAATAGTACAGTAATCCAATTAAAATCTGCAGGGCACTCACAATCACCCCCAACGTCTTCCTGCAAGGACTCACTATCATCCTCGACGTCTGCCTGCAAGAAGGTAAATTTTTTTGCTGCCAATAAGAAAGTAATAATAAGGAACATAACAACAACAAAATTCCTAAAGTTCTATAACTAACATACCTCAAAAATGTCATTATTTTGAAGAAAACGTGCTAAGACATTCTCTCTGAATTGGGACTTACTATCATCCGCAATGTCTGCCTGCAAGAAGGTAAAAAGGTTTGTAAATTTTGATTCTTTTGTGTAACTCCCAAGTCTTCTTTTACAAAAGTACGGAATGAACTTACTTCATGAGCAACAGAAAAGCAGAAAATGCTCCCCTGACGTATGATATAAGAGATAGTCCGGAACACATAATAGGCATACACAAATCCTTTTGATTGATCAACGGCAAGTAAAGCTGGAAATATTATTAAAAATTTTAATTATTTTCACACATGATTGCCACTGGTATAAGCATTGTCAAGGAAATTTGCAAGATTTTCAAGTTGGTATAAATTTCTTTATATAGTAAGAAGTTGTGTACAAAAAACATGCGCACAAAGAAACGTACTGAAAGGTATAATATTCGTAGATACAATGAGAATAAGCAGCGGTTTACGCCCATACTCCTTAGCAAGCTGATCTAAGAGTGGAAATAGTAACGTCTTGAATATTCCAACAACCTACAAGCACAAATGCAGGACTAAAACTTGATGGGAGAGCATCATTATGGAGTAGCAAAATTATAGTAAAAATGTTCAGTTAAGGCAAGTAGTTGCACTCAAAATCTGTCTACTCTGTCTGATTTGAGAATTGAGAGAATACTTTATATTGCTTGGAGTTGTATATCATATTCGGGTAAGGTTCAAATCTGTATAAGCCCCTTACAGACATTAGCTACTTCTATATATTGCCAGAAAATATCTCCCACGAGGATACCATATTTCTCCCATACATAATTGATTCCTTCCAAATCCAACCACATCACCCCACCAAACTGCAAAAAAAAAATAAAAAAATACTGCAACTCTCCACAGTCATTCTCCTTGTATGTCCCCTTGTTTTCCTTTCTTACATTTTCACGGGCTGTTAAATTTTTATTCCAACGTTCATGTAATCTGTTAAGCCCGTAAGCCTTGAGAATCCGGTACAACTAGACAACTTGAGAATCCGGCACAACTAGACACCTAATTCTTCTTCCAAAGCACTATAGATATAATCTCACATATAACAGAAGAATATGTACAAAAATAACAGGAAAATACGCATTTAAAAATTATTACATCTACAATAAACTGTATGATCGATGAATTGATAGTGATATATTATTAGGAAGGTGGGCCCCCTTTTTTTTTTTTGCTGTTGACATAGGAACCTTCAGTCGCTACCCTCCAGTGGAGGCCAGACCATTGTGAGTGCGCACTAGATAAATCTTGCTCCATGTGCAATAGCCCGCAAATCACACAGAAGAGGTAAACCGCACCAGGCAAGTAGTAGCTTAATTTATGCCCTCAATGAAACATGACTACATGGTCCACCCAACTTATTGATTATAGTGACAAATAATTATTCCAATAAAGTCTTTAGAATTGAACTATTACCACTTCAACATAGGGAAAAGTTAGTGAACCTGTACAACCAAGAGTCGAATAAGAATTTGCAACTCCACAACAAGGGTATTAGAATGGTCTAAGTATGTATCTCAAAAGTTTGAGGGCCAGACCTCAGCTCCAAAAATTCAATTCTTTTTTTCTTTTCTTTTAAAAAGTATAGGGGACAGTCACATGTAAAAACTTGTGCAACATGGATTCTTGATTTAAATTTCCGTCAATCGTGAGCGCTTTCTCGTTTCAGGTAATGTCGATGGGCAATAATGTAATTTTTAGTGTTTTTCTTCTCGAAAGGCATTGACCAATCTACTTGTTTCGAGATAAGGAAATTTCATCTCGAAGTTGACCCATAACACAAATTATCAACGATAAATTAATTAGCTTCTTTATTGAAACCAACCACAACAACCTATGGCTATGTAGAGAGAGCATTTATATCCTATGGCCCATTAGTTTGATTTATCAAAAGTGAACATTAGAAAAACAAACAAATCAAAAGCAAT